GAAACAGCCCAATGAGCATCACCGCAGAGGAGCCAATCAGCTAGATGTTGCTGGGGCCGCTGTGAGCCAATCATCAGCCGGCAGCTGGAAGTTTTTTTTCACGTGAGGGCCCCTTCGGCTGTGGCTCTCAACAGGGCATGAGGAGGAGTGGCCTGTGCTGAGTCTGACTGGCTCTGAGTGCCCAACAGGATGGTGCTGCTAGCGGTAGGTAAGGCCCTGGGGCCAGGGCAGGGCGGTAGAAGTAAGGAGGGTAACTTTTAGGACTATTATTTATTTGGTGCGTTTCAGGAGCCAAGTGTTCCACGTGTGTACCCCCTGCCATCTGTTGTCGTGAGGCCAAGTGTGCAATGGCTGTCGTGATCACTGCCGTGGTCCCCTCATGCAGGGGACACACCGGACCCCTAGACTGCAGGTGCCACCACCCTTGCCCACCCCCTGATCTTTCCCAAACACCTACGGAATAGCCACACAGGTCAACAACAGCTAATGTAAAATAGTGATTATGTCAATATACTGTAATAAAATTTATTTTAAAAATTTACTTATGCTGAGTGCAGGGGCACACGTCTGTAATCCCAGCAGCTCTGGAGGCTGAGGCAGGAGGATCACAAGTTCAAAGTCAGCCTCAGCAACTTAATGAAGCCCTAACCAACTTGGAGAGACCCTGTCTCTAAATAAAAAATAATAAAAGGGCTGGGGATGTGGCTCAGTGGTGAAATGCCTCTGGGTTCAATCCCTGGTAGCAAAACAAACAAAAAATTCTTATGAATTGCTCATTTCTAGAATTTTCCATTTTATATTTTCAGGCTGTGATTGAATGCAGGTGAGAAAAGTGAAATGGTAGACGGAACCAGGCAGGGGACCAGCATATTGCCTCTGATAGTCCAGGGGCTGGACGGCTCCCTCGGAGGGTTTTGTCCTTGTGAGGGTGCCTGGGGCCCTTCCCAGGCTTCCCCATCTCCATCTTGTGCCTGGGCCTGGAGAATCTCTGGCTGGGGCTGCTAGGTTTGGGGCTGGTGGGCATCTCCAGTGTGACTGTGCCCCCAGCACCGTGGTCTAGAGGACGCTGGGCGGGTAGGCTGGCCCAAGGCCCTCGGGGCTGCAGCTCTCTGGGGTGCGTCACCTGTTGTGGCCCAGGACAGAGTGACTTCCCGCAGTCCATTCACAGACCACACCCCAGGCCAGCGCGTATTCCAGGTGGGTGGGAAGTAGTTCAGAACCCAGAACCCGGCTTTTTACTGTCACTCTCACCCTCTCGGTACACCGGCTATCGTGACCATTCTATAGGGAAATGAGAACACCTGCAGATTTGCCCAAGGCCACGAAGGGGGTCGCCTGGGCCAGACTCCTATCACGGCGCGCAGACCAGCCACACGGGGCTTGCTGGGCACTCCTCGCAGGGCAGACAAGCCACACAGGTCTCCCTGGCGCAGGGCCAGCGGCAGGCACTGCCGGGGCACTTCTTGCTGGGAAGCACCTGCAGCAGGCCCAGTAGGCAGCCTGCCTGGGAGGGCTGATGGGAGGAGCAGCCCCCGCAGGACCAGTGGGCTCCAGGAAGGAAGCACCTCCCCAGTGCAGAGCCACGTCCTGCTTGGTCGAAGGCCACAGGGCAGTCCTGCGTGGAACACTGTGACTGTCACCACGTGCCTCCCACCAGGCCCCTCGGACTCCAGCAGCCAGAGAAGGAGGATAAACCCAGGAAGCCTCAGGTGTTCAGGGCAATGGGACAGGCAGGGGCTGTGCCTTGGGGCTGGGAACAACCATAGCCAGCCCTGCTAATGAGCTAGCAGACATCCCACAGAGGCCCTGGTGGCCACGAAGGGTTCCCAGGTCCCCATGTGCTGGGGTGTATACCGTGTGAGTGCATGGGAAAACCAGAGACACCTGGGTCTACACAGCAGGCAGCTGGGAGGGGCACTCAGCAGCCCACAGAAAAGGCAGCGTTTTGCACCTGTGGACACTGAGCAAGCTGGAAGAGTCCACTTGGATAGTGAGCAAGCTGGGAGGGTCCATGGGGACAGCGAGCAAGCTGGGAGGGTCCACGAAGAACACAGCGTCTGTTTGGGAATCCAGGCAGGTGCCTAAGTAGGCAGGTACCCAGGTGGGCACAGGTGGGCAGGTGCCCAGGCAGGTAGATGCCTGAGTGGCAGGTACCCAGATGGGCAGGTGCCTAGGCAGGCCAGTGCCCAGGTGGGCAGGTGCCTTAGTAGGCAGGTACCCAGGCAGGCACAGGTGGGCAGGTGCCTAAGTAGGCAGATACCCAGGCGGGCACAGATGGGCAGGTGCCCAGGCAGGTAGTGCTCAGGTGGGCAGGTGC